TTAATAAAACTCACCTAATCATACTGGTGTGTTCTCTTAAATGGCTATATATAACTTTTTTTATTTCTGAATGAAATTTTGCCAATTTGATATTATTTTGCTTGCAATAGCATGTACTTTCTAAATGTAAAATGATAAATTGTAAAAGGACTGAAATTTTCATAGGAAGAATCCATCATCATATTTGATACTCCGTCAATCATACTGGTGTGTTCTCTTGAATGGCCATAACTTTTTTATTTCTCAATGAAATTTTGCCAATTTGATATTATTTTGCTTGCAATAGCATGTACTTTCTAAATGTAGAATGATAAATTGTAAGAGGACTGAAATTTTCATAGGGAGAATCCATCATCATATTATACTCTGTCAATCGTACTGGTGTGTTCTCTTGAATGGCCATAACTTTTTTATTTCTCAATGAAATTTTGCCAATTTGATATTATTTTGCTTGCAATAGCATGTACTTTCTAAATGTAGAATGATAAATTGTAAGAGGACTGAAATTTTCATAGGGAGAATCCATCATCATATTATACTCTGTCAATCGTACTGGTGTGTTCTCTTGAATGGCCATAACTTTTTTATTTCTCAAGGAAATTTTGCCAATTTGATATTATTTTGCTTGCAATAGCATGTACTTTCTAAATGTCAATTGATAAATTGCAAGAGGACTGAAATTTTCATAGGGAGAATCCATCATCATATTATACTCTGTCAATCGTACTGGTGTGTTCTCTTGAATGGCCATAACTTTTTTATTTCTCAATGAAATTTTGCCAATTTGATATTATTTTGCTTGCAATAGCATGTACTTTCTAAATGTAGAATGATAAATTGTAAGAGGACTGAAATTTTCATAGGGAGAATCCATCATCATATTACACTCTGTCAATCGTACTGGTGTGTTCTCTTGAATGGCCATAACTTTTTTATTTCTCAATGAAATTTTGCCAATTTGATATTATTTTGCTTGCAATAGCATGTACTTTCTAAATGTAGAATGATAAATTGTAAAAGGACTGAAATTTTCATAGGGAGAATCCATCATCATATTATACTCTGTCAATCGTACTGGTGTGTTCTCTTGAATGGCCATAACTTTTTTATTTCTCAAGGAAATTTTGCCAGTTTGATATTATTTTGCTTGCAATAGCATGTACTTTCTAAATGTAAAATGATAAATTGTAAGAGGACTGAAATTTTCATAGGGAGAATCCATCATCATATTATACTCTGTCAATCGTACTGGTGTGTTCTCTTGAATGGCCATAACTTTTTTATTTCTCAAGGAAATTTTGCCAATTTGATATTATTTTGCTTGCAATAGCATGTACTTTCTAAATGTAGAATGATAAATTGTAAGAGGACTGAAATTTTCATAGGGAGAATCCATCATCATATTATACTCTGTCAATCGTACTGGTGTGTTCTCTTGAATGGCCATAACTTTTTTATTTCTCAATGAAATTTTGCCAATTTGATATTATTTTGCTTGCAATAGCATGTACTTTCTAAATGTAAAATGATAAATTGTAAAAGGACTGAAATTTTCATAGGGAGAATCCATCATCATATTATACTCTGTCAATCGTACTGGTGTGTTCTCTTGAATGGCCATAACTTTTTTATTTCTCAATGAAATTTTGCCAATTTGATATTATTTTGCTTGCAATAGCATGTACTTTCTAAATGTAGAATGATAAATTGTAAAAGGACTGAAATTTTCATAGGGAGAATCCATCATCATATTATACTCTGTCAATCGTACTGGTGTGTTCTCTTGAATGGCCATAACTTTTTTATTTCTCAATGAAATTTTGCCAGTTTGATATTATTTTGCTTGCAATAGCATGTACTTTCTAAATGTAAAATGATAAATTGTAAGAGGACTGAAATTTTCATAGGGAGAATCCATCATCATATTATACTCTGTCAATCGTACTGGTGTGTTCTCTTGAATGGCCATAACTTTTTTATTTCTCAAGGAAATTTTGCCAATTTGATATTATTTTGCTTGCAATAGCATGTACTTTCTAAATGTAGAATGATAAATTGTAAGAGGACTGAAATTTTCATAGGGAGAATCCATCATCATATTATACTCTGTCAATCGTACTGGTGTGTTCTCTTGAATGGCCATAACTTTTTTATTTCTCAATGAAATTTTGCCAATTTGATATTATTTTGCTTGCAATAGCATGTACTTTCTAAATGTAAAATGATAAATTGTAAAAGGACTGAAATTTTCATAGGGAGAATCCATCATCATATTATACTCTGTCAATCGTACTGGTGTGTTCTCTTGAATGGCCATAACTTTTTTATTTCTCAATGAAATTTTGCCAATTTGATATTATTTTGCTTGCAATAGCATGTACTTTCTAAATGTAGAATGATAAATTGTAAAAGGACTGAAATTTTCATAGGGAGAATCCATCATCATATTATACTCTGTCAATCGTACTGGTGTGTTCTCTTGAATGGCCATAACTTTTTTATTTCTCAAGGAAATTTTGCCAGTTTGATATTATTTTGCTTGCAATAGCATGTACTTTCTAAATGTAAAATGATAAATTGTAAGAGGACTGAAATTTTCATAGGGAGAATCCATCATCATATTATACTCTGTCAATCGTACTGGTGTGTTCTCTTGAATGGCCATAACTTTTTTATTTCTCAAGGAAATTTTGCCAATTTGATATTATTTTGCTTGCAATAGCATGTACTTTCTAAATGTAGAATGATAAATTGTAAGAGGACTGAAATTTTCATAGGGAGAATCCATCATCATATTATACTCTGTCAATCGTACTGGTGTGTTCTCTTGAATGGCCATAACTTTTTTATTTCTCAAGGAAATTTTGCCAATTTGATATTATTTTGCTTGCAATAGCATGTACTTTCTAAATGTAGAATGATAAATTGTAAAAGGACTGAAATTTTCATAGGGAGAATCCATCATCATATTATACTCTGTCAATCGTACTGGTGTGTTCTCTTGAATGGCCATAACTTTTTTATTTCTCAATGAAATTTTGCCAATTTGATATTATTTTGCTTGCAATAGCATGTACTTTCTAAATGTAAAATGATAAATTGTAAGAGGACTGAAATTTTCATAGGGAGAATCCATCATCATATTATACTCTGTCAATCGTACTGGTGTGTTCTCTTGAATGGCCATAACTTTTTTATTTCTCAAGGAAATTTTGCCAATTTGATATTATTTTGCTTGCAATAGCATGTACTTTCTAAATGTAGAATGATAAATTGTAAGAGGACTGAAATTTTCATAGGGAGAATCCATCATCATGGTATACTCCATCGATAGGAATTGGTGTGTTCACTTAATTAAATTACCATAACTTTTTGTACTTTTCAATGAAATTTAGCCAGTTTGGAATAGATTTTTTTGTCATAGCATTCACTTAGTAAATCAAACCTAATAAATGAATTTGTGTATATTTTTTGAAACATTAAGAAAATGACCAATGGGAGACTTTTTTTCTACTCAAGACCAGGTTTTAAAATTTAAATAAATTATTTAAAAAGGGAGAGCTTTATCTGCCTTATAAATATAGTCATAATTACTATTCAAAAATAGAAATTAAGTTTTTAAAGTCAGATACCTGCATGCATATAACATATGAATTTATTTGACCACTAATTCAACTGTGAAACCTGAGTGGACTACAAGTTTTCTCCTTTTATTTCATGCAAATTCACTTGGCTGAGTACTTTTATTTGATAACGCTCTTCGAGTGAAAACGCTACCATGATTAAAAATAATTCAACATTCATTTAAAGTAGAAAAATATAGTCGTTATAGAACAATTGAATACTTTATTTAGAATGAAACGAAACGCCCGGAGTGAATCCACATAGTCGAGACGAATCCACCCAATACCGATCAAGATCTCCACTGCGCTTTGTATTCGTAGTAAAATTACACATTCTGTAAATGCATTGTTGCAACTGTGATGCAAGAACAGGGAAAGATGCAGTCTGCTGAAAGGATTAATTCACGTACTTTTAAATCAATTTAGTCTCATTTATATTCATTTTATTGAGATATTGGTTTAATACGTAATGCTTGAATTAGTCCACAATCACCTCAGCGCAATGAATAAGTCAAAAAGAAAGGTGCTTTAGTTCAGTTCAGTTATGGAATTCCCTCCTATGTATAAGGAGCACCCGAGAAGGTGGTTTCATAAAATACATTTAAAGGTCGGAAGTATTTCAGCACTTATAATTATAACCCATTACAAACCTATTTCAATGATATTTACAAAAATATTTTAGTTACCATTCATTATGAAATCATTTCAAGATATATCCATGCAGAAGTCTATTTAAGGTTTATGATAAACACTGATAAAAGTAAAGAATAACAATTTTATATCTAGACCACAGCATGTATATAATATGGCAGTAAAGTTTTTTTTATAGTGATATAAAGCTAAAGTAGAAATATTAAAGTAATGATTTTAAAATGTTAAGTTTGCAATGAATTATATGGCAAAAAGCTTTCAAAAATAATTTTGACCCTTGACTGTATTAGATTAAAAGAAGATGGACTGTTTTTCCCTGTACATTAAAGAGATAAAAACAATTTCCATTCTCCTGTAGGATAAAATATTCTATAAATCATTTTGTTAGAGAACTTTTAATCCTATTAGTGACAATTATAGAACTTCTTGTCCTATTTCACAAATTATGGGATAAAAAATCCCATGTAAGGTTAAAAATGGGAGTTTTGCTTCTATAGGAGAAAAAATCCCACAGAACTCATTTTTCTCCCACAGAATAATGGTGGGATATTAGTTAGGAGAGAAAATCCCACCATAATCCCATGGGATTTCTTGATTGCAGGTGTAATATCTTTTAATCTAGAAGATATTCAGGTGTAAAGGTTAGTCCATGTTGTGCAATTAAAAAAATCCCACCAGATGACATAAATGGTTTCCATGTATCTTTGGAAAAGTGGTTGGCGAAAGTCCGGACAAATGTCGTGTCCGGAGTTAAATGTCGCACTGTTAACTGCAAAAGGACCTCTTCACTCAGTAGAATTGTATGTGACAGCGGAACTATCCTCTTTTAGTCAATGTTTATATGGACCAGAGAGTCAAGGTTTTCGTCCAGTTTGTAAAGAGACATATGATGCATCGGCCACAATATATGTCTACAGACTCAACATTCTCATCGACAAGCAGTTTCTCAGCAGTGTTGCATTAGAATTCGGTGGAGAAAATGTGTGTGGGGGCTGTACGTCACTTAAAAAATAAAATGCTTTCTTTCTTTGTTATTACGGGGATTAACGTCGCATCTATTGCAGAAAAAATTAATACATAATTCCCTTATGCAGTGTTACAACGCGAAATGTAATAACAACGCAAAATGTAATAAATTTGGATTATTACATTTTGCGTTATTACATTTTGTGTCGAGATCAACGCATAATGTAATAACGCAAAATGTAATAGCACGATTTTTGGATTGTTACATTTTGCGTTATTACATTTTATTACATGGGATTAACGCGAAATGTTATAATGCATTTTTTGGTTGTTACATTTTGCGTAATTGTCGAGAAACCCCCTTCCCGCTATATTTACACCAGCCAGTAAAAATAGATAGATTTCTTTTCTAAATTTCAGGCATGTGCCTATCAAACAGCAAAAGCAAACTGATACACTGATCAATGAAATACCCCCCCCCCCCCCCAACACACACACGCACACACACATACGTGAGCACGCGCGTTTCTTATTTGCAATACCTATGATTTGGATATCAACTGATTTTAAATGACTAATGGAATCAATATATGATAAATCAGATCTAAAGAAAGAATTAGCATATGTTTATTTTTCCTTTTGTTTAATTGTTTTTCATCTATTTTCTTCATCCACTACTCAATTGAAAATTATTCTCAACCTGACAGACTTAAAAGTGTTTTTACATTTTGCGTTGTTGCATTTTGCTTAATCTGGACGTAAAATGTAATGTGGATTAGCACATACCATTTCATGGTTGAAGTCGACTTTTCCACTCGGCGAGCAGAGTTTTGACGCTGTTTACCATGTTACGGAGATAAAAGAAAATACAGAAAAAAATGCCATATATGGTCTTGTAGATAAATTATTGCAGAAGACAGTGGTAGTAAACAATTTGCCAGTGCATTTCCTCTAAAAGTGTAAATGAGTGCGATTCTGGAAATGGGGGTACTCCGTGTAATTCGAAGTTGGATACCTTGTGTTATTATTATACTATGGGTTAAAAAATTTATTACAGAAACAAGTGCCTGTGGTATATACGTTATTACATAAATAGTACATGTTTGGGGGGGATTAACAGTTGAAATGGACATCCCGAGAGAAAACAATTGTCAGTTGTCAACTTTACATTTTGAACGGCTTTCAAACTCTGCGCCTCCATTTTTTTAAATTAGAAAGCTTCGAAAATTCACCAACCACTTTTTTGTTTGTGTGATGGTTAGAGAGTCCTTGTCATCTAAAGTTTTGTTATTTTTGAACTCGCAGGTAATTTTCGTCTGTCTTTTGTTCTGTTTTGTTCTTTGTTTTGATTGACGTGTATGTATTTGCCTTCCTTCAAATGCATGGCCGGCGTTTTGAGAAATCAGAAGACCCAAGAACCAAATTGTTTGCCTGAGACCGTTAGGCTGAAGGCAAACAGTGTGATTCAAGGGGTCGACAAAACGCATTTTACCCGAGAACACAGTCAGTAAATGTTCCGTAACCCCCCCCCCCCAAAAAAAAAGGGAAAAAAAATAAAATAATAAAAAAGGAAACATTTATTACTTGTTGATCTAGCTCAAGTTCTATTTTGGGTACGATCTTCGCCAAGCGCTCGGCACTTTGAAGTGAAAGTTGCCGGTCTTTCGGATGATTCTTTTAAAAACCGAGGCCCCATGTCACGGTAGGCGTTGGAACGATAAAGAACCCTCACTGCTCAATGACCCTAAGTGCCGAGTAAAGATCTATTTGATGAAGCCCTTCACCGGTATATGTTGACGTCTCTATATGAATGAAAAATTCTCGAACGGGACGTAAAACACATAATCAATCAATCATTACTTGTAATGTTTATATACGTTCTAGAAATTTTGATTGTTTTTGTCAGGCAAGCTTTTTGAAAAGCTATTACTTTTTCTGTTACGTGTACTAAAACCGATCAGTCTCGTAATCTAGTCAAAGTGAAATATTTGTACAGTCATATAGCTGCATACATAAAAATAATTGTACCTACCTTCTTCTCATCGTTTTTGGTAAATAATGCAAAAACTTTCAATCATTAGGAGTTATGGTATAAAATTTCATTGAAAAAGATTAAAGGAAAAATCATCTGAAAACAATAAATTTCTAATTTTGACCTATTACCTTATAAATGTACTCAAAATCAATAGTAGTCATTTTTAGGCCATAGGGAGTTGCGATGTTAAATTTCATTGAAAAATAAAAATGAAACTGCAGTTATCATCTGGAAACCGTTTTTGTCATGTATGAATTTCTGACCTTGACCCTGTCCTCGAAATCAATAGGGGTCTTCTTTAGGCCGTATGGAGTTGTGATATAAAATTTCATTGCAAAGGGTCAAGGCTTTTAAAGATACATGTATCCTCCGGAAACGAAAGTCTTACAGAAAGATTGTATAAATTCTTGATCTTGACATTTTAGCCTCAAATGAATAGCGTCTTTGTTAGGCCATTGGAAATTGCCATATAAAATTTAATTGCAAAAGTTTACAGGCTTTTTGAGATATCTTCCAAAAAGCGAAAGGGTATTACAAAGACAGACTTGCAGATAGGCAGACACTGAAATTAATATTCCCACTTTCAATAAAGCGAGGGGACAAAATCATTGAGTGTGCCCCCCCCCCCCTCTCTTCCTTTCCTGAAGTTAAGAGAGCTCTTTGATACATTACAGGCTTGAGGTTTAATTAAACAGACAAAAGCATAGCAGTTAAGGAAAATTTTAGTATAGGATATGTTTTATGACTTCAATGAATGTATAACCATTAACATAGATTGGAAAATTCACGTCCCCTAGACACATCTTTCATGCTAAATGTGGTAGATACATATACTAGTATTAAAACTGCATATTGAAAATCATCATCACCTAGCAGACGAAGTGTTTGATATGTAACTACACTGAATACTTAACCCTCCACCAATATTGCAAACTGATTTGATGTCCAGTCCATATGGTCCACTAAGTCACAGGCGTAACCGTTCTAGGTGGCACAAGTGGTCATAGTTAATTTACCGATTCGTTACTAATAGTTAATTTACTGATTACTGATTTCGAAGAAGGGGGGCATATTGCTATGCTGCTCTCTGTCGTTCGGTCGATCTGTCTGTCGGTCCATCAATAGTTTCCGTTCATTTTCTTCGCAGAAGTTGCACATACTGTAATGAAATTTGTTATAAGATGTATCATAAGAATATCTAGATCAAGTTCTATTTTGGGCACGATCGAGCAATTTTCTTAAAGAGATATGCCCCTTGGACTTCGAAAAATTCCAATTATTTGAGGGGGGGGGATAAGTGTTTCACAAACATCTTTTGTCACACTTCACTCTTGCAGTACTAGTATTATTTTAAAATCGTACCGTCACAAATTTTACACGAACAAGCCATTGTTGAATTCTCGAGGAGATTTGTTTTGAAATTATTTCATAATATTTTAAATCCATGGTCTCGTCATTAACTTTTCACAATTCATTTTTTTAAGACAGTCTTGGTATTTAAATTCACAACTTTTTGTGTTTATAGGATCAATGTGAGGCATATAAAAGTTACCAAAAATGTAACATAAATTCTGGTCGTAGGGATCATTATAAGTGAGTAAAAACATCACTGACGGTTTTGATTAAGCTGTTGACCCCGTCCTTTATCTACCTCGGGAGTTATGATTTGAACAATTTTTTAATTAAACGAATCTACATCGCTTGCATCTTCGCAAGCTAAGGCTGATGATCTGCTCCTCATCTCTTTTCACTGAAAAGAGATTTTAATTGAAGATTTTTATGCAATGTTTATTTCTGAAACATTGCATTGTAAAAATTTCATCATGGTGAACCCCATTGTACCCTGATAGCTATTTTTTGAATGAACTTGAACTAATATACATGTACTATGTCAAAAAGTTTTCACATTTGTTTCATCTTCTGGCCAAGTGATTTTTTAGAAAAAGAATTTTGAAAGATGCCACCGTTTTTTTTATTTTTATGCCCCCTTATCGAAGATTCGGGGGTATATAGTTTTTGCTCGGTCCGTCCGTCTGTCTGTCTGTTTGTCCGCAAAAACTTTTAGATTGCCCATAACTTTTGATTGGTTGGAGCTATGGCTTTCATATTTTCACATGTGTATTCCTTGTGACAAGACCTTTCTTTGGGTACCATTTGACCTTGGAGTTTGACCCAGTTTTACAAAATTTTACCCAACTTTAACCTTGGCCATAACTTTTGAACAGTTGATGCTAGGGCTTTCATACTTCACGTGTAATTCTTGTGAAAAAACCTTCCTTTGGATACCAACAACTTTGACGGTTAAACCTTGACCTTAGAGTTTGACCTACTTTTGAAAAACATTAACCTTAGCTATAATTTTTGAACGGTTGGTGCTAGGGCTTTCATACTTCACATATGTAATCCTTGTGACAAGACCTTACTTTGGATATTAACAACTATGACCTTTTGACCTTGACTGAGGAGTTTGACCTACTTTTGATAAACTTTAAACTTGGCCATATCTTTTGAACGGTTGGTGCTAGGGCTTTCGTATTTCACATGTAGGCCTATATTTCTTGCGAGAAGGCCTTTCCTTGGGCACCATTAATTTTGACCATTTGACCTTGACCTTGATGTTTGACTTACCTTTGAAAATTTTTAACCTTTTCCATATCTTTTAAATGGTTGCTGCTAGGACTTTCATATTTCACAGGTATATTTCTCGGGACAAGAACTTACTTTGGGTACCAACATATTTGATTTGCATTTGAGAAAGTTTAACCTTCGCTATAAGTTGCCATACGGGGGCATCAGTGTTTCACAAACACACCTTGTTCTTAATAATCTCTCCTTGATGGTAAACATTTACTTGAATCCCCTTCACTTAGGGCTTCTTTGTGGTAAGTGTGGTTCAAATTTGTCCAGTGGTTTCAGCGAAGCAGTTTAAAAAAAAGTGTAAACTGCCCCAAGTTAAGTTATATCGTATAACATAGGTTATTTTCAGACACCAAGGCGCCCCTTACAAATCATTATTCTTTACCATTGAAGGAC